TCTCGTGTGGATAACTTACCTTTGACTGGATAGACCAGAAAAAAGAGATTAATTGAGATATGCATAAGCAAACCCTGACACCTTGACCATTGAAAAAAAAAATACTTTACAGATATTTTACAAAGTTAAGTGGTATTGAATCACTACAATCTACTCTTTAGACCCAAACATTCTCGTTTGAGACTTTTCCCTGTTGAGACGATGAGGACAAGAGATGTACAAACTACATGATTGTCAAATTACGAGGATCAATAACTCTGATACCACTTATAATATTTTAGATCTACATTAAATTATATGTGTTGTTTTGGGCTTGATCCATCTAGCTAACTCTAAAATGCTTTGTACGATAAAGATTTAAAGTTCATACTTACTTAAAAACATACAATTCTTTGATGATGAATTGGGTCACCACCCAATTGATGTCTAATATAAATTGACTATGGAACAACATTAGCATCATTAAAAGCCTCTACTACATGCAAAAATGCTTTTCTTTGTGGTAAATCTATGCTTAAACATGTTTCACTTTTTCGATTTCTTTCAGCATGAATGTGAACGGGTGGGAAGGCATGCTGTTCATTGGAATCAATGCAGCAATAAGGTAAATGGAATCTCTCTCTCTCTCTCTCTCTCTGCATTATTATTCTTTACTTGCCTTTCAGCACACCCAGTTGTACAACTTGGACTCGAACCGAACCCAAAATATTCCATGTTTGGCCAGATTTTTTCAAATTTTGGATTAAGCTAGNGTTGCTGTTGGAGGAGGATGGCAAGGACTGGTGGCTTATATCAATCTCTTTTGTTATTACGTTATTGGCCTCCCTCTTGGCTTCCTTCTGGGCTACAAAACACGTTTAAAAGTTGAGGTAAGCTACCAATTTCATCACCATTGAAAGTGTGATCATGTAATTTGAAATACTGTAAATTCAAATATCGTGAGTTTGAATTTTAGTAATTTTTTGGGGTTAGATTATGAATAATTTATCCCTTATGAATTTTTTAGTCTCGGCGTGGGTAACTTGCCTTTGATTGAATCAGAAAGGAGATTAATCGAGGTGCGCATAAGCCGGTCTGGACAACTCTGACCANATTAGAAAGATTGAGAAATATTATCATTTGATTTGATTCGTTCTCAACGGCCATGGATGATCATCTCTACTCCTCCTTGCTTGTTTGTGTCGAAGGACTTTGATTGAGACTCTTACTCCACTCAAGAGTTGAGTTTCAATTTGATATTTTAATCCGTCGACTTGCACAAATTGCAACTCCTAACTTATCTTGAGAGGTGGTTCAATGGTTGAATTTGATTTTTAGTAATTTAGAAATCTCATATTTAATCTCTTTTCACGCCCTATAAGGGCCAGCCACACCTTACTCTGGAATATGCTCTAACCCAGCTCAAGTCACGGTCGCTGCCGTCGAATTTGATGGAATAATCAGCACAAGTTTGAATATCATGTAGTAAAAAAAAAATNGAAGTCAAGAGATAATAGGAAAATTGCACTCCGACCCCTCAACTATGCCCTTCTCTAACCCGAAGGGCCAACTAAAATGGTAAGACTTCTCTGAGAGCAGCCAAGAGGTTCCCATTTTGAGTCATAGGACCATCCACCTAGGGTGTGAGCCCTGCGATTTACTTGGCATGTGTGGTTATTGGGGTATCGCACGAGCCCTGGAGATTTTCTCCAGTGACTATGCAGGTCATTAAGTCTGACAATAAATTGTTACAGTTTCNTTGATGGAATAATCAGCACAAGTTTGAATATCATGTAGTAAAAAAAAAATTACTTTCCTACCATGAACTTGTTATAAGTTCTTTGATTCTAAAAGTTGATTGTCTTTTTCTTATTTTTTGTTAGTGTTCGGGTCTCTAATGAGCTTGGATCGGGACATCCCAGAGCTGCCAAATACACTGTGATAGTCACAGTTGTTGAATCTCTCCTTATTGGAATTATCTGCATTTCTGTTGTAATGGCTACTAGGAATCATTTTGCTGTCATTTTCACTGACAACAAGGAGATGCAAAAGGCCGTTGCTCATTTGGCTTACCTTCTCGCCATAACCATGTTGCTCAACAGCGTTCAGCCAGTTATATCAGGTGCCACTATATGGTATCAATTTTATATGCTGACACGAATTTGTAAATAACATGATCAACGAATTACAAGAATAATACATAGGTCGGGTTTATACTATGGGTCTTGTTGGGTTGGGCTTTGAAGTTGTGTTGTTATGTCTAATTCGTACGATTTATACTCAATTAGTTTGTAGTGATATATAGTCAAGTTTGTGTCATGTATGTGTCATGTTAAGTCAAATTTATGGCGTAGGCAATTTCGTGTCGACCCAATTTTGACAGATTCATCTGTTTACTATCCAAACCCTTGAAGGTTAAATCAAATCCATTGGTCCAATATAGATTTTATGTCAAGCTCGCAAATTATATTATGAATTGTCGGATATAATTATGCTATCTCTAGTTTACTAAATATAAACTAACATGATTTAAAATGACATGACCCGAACATGATACAATACGAGTAGAGACTGCTCTTAGTACTTCCTATTTGTCGCTGAAAGAAGAAAACCATACAATATTTTTTGTACCATTTTTGCAGGTGTTGCTGTTGGAGGAGGATGGCAAGGACTGGTGGCTTATATCAATCTCTTTTGTTATTACGTTATTGGCCTCCCTCTTGGCTTCCTTCTGGGTTACAAAACACGTTTAAAAGTTGAGGTAAGCTACCAATTTCATCACCATTGAAAGTGTGATCATGTAATTTGAAATACTGTAAATTCAAATATCGTGAGTTTGAATTTTAGTAATTTTTTGGGGTTAGATTATGAATAATTTATCCCTTATGAATTTTTTAGTCTCGGCGTTGGTAACTTGCCTTTGATTGAATCAGAAAGGAGATTAATCGAGGTGCGCATAAGCCGGTCTGGACAACTCTGACTATTGAACGAAAAAAATAAGGAAAATTGACAAAAAATTTAGAGGAGGGATTCTCACTCATGACTTTACCTTTGTGTTTCACGACCTTCTAATTTTGCATAGATAAAATACTTTTTGTTTGTAGAAAATTATGATTATTATCACTTTTGGCATCCAATATAATTAATCTTCAATATTACAATAATCACTAACTGAGGTTTTATGGTTGTAGGGGATATGGATGGGCATGATTTGTGGAACATTTTTGCAAACATTGATCCTTTTGTTTATTGTATGGAGAACAAACTGGAAGGAGGAGGTAATTCTTCTTTCTTTGTAGAAGTCAAGAGATAATAGGAAAATTGCACTCCGACCCCTCAACTATGCCCTTCTCTTACCCGAAGGGCCAACTAAAATGGTAAGACTTCTCTGAGAGCAGCCAAGAGGTTCCCATTTTGAGTCATAGGGCCATCCACCTAGGGTGTGAGCCCTGCGATTTACTTGGCATGTGTGGTTATTGGGGTATCGCACGAGCCCTGGAGATTTTCTCCAGTGACTATGCAGGTCATTAAGTCTGACAATAAATTGTTACAGTTTCCTCTGAATTACCCAAAAACTATGCCCATCTCTGAAATTATCCCTCTAACTGTTGTGTTATTGGTTTCACAATGCCCCAATTGCACACATCCATCATAATTAAATCAGAGACTTTATAATTATACCCTTCAGTGTTTCTGACAATCTTGTTACACGGGAACTTTTTCATTGGAAAGATAACAGATTTATGTTATTAGGACAATGTGAAACTATTTCAAGTATTTGAGAGGGGGATTATATGACAAATCCACAGTAGATGAGAGATCAAGACCATAGTTTAGAGATGCAAAGCATATTTTTCTCAAGATAATATTTTAGTTTTCTTCACCACAAGATTACTTAGATTTAGCAATCAGCTAACAAGATGTAGAAACATTCATCATCTTCTGATGTATTTTTATCACACTTAACTAAACTTGGATTGCAGGTAGCACAAGCATCAGAAAGAATGAGGAAGTGGGGTGGTGTAGAAGATGAAGGATCTGAGATGAAGTAAAAACCCAATTATAGAACTTTCATGGGGGGTCTTTTTTCAATGTATTGTTAGATTTTAGGTACTTCTTGTAGTTCTTTTCACAATAATACTACTTACCTAGTTTGAGAACTTAATTCGAGGATACGGTGCAATTTCACATTTGATTAATTGTCAATAGACTCATTCAATGTTAGGTTGCACTGATAATCCTAATGATGATAATAGTATATTGGACCCTNATCCAATATAATTAATCTTCAATATTACAATAATCACTAACTGAGGTTTTATGGTTGTAGGGGATATGGATGGGCATGATTTGTGGAACATTTTTGCAAACATTGATCCTTTTGTTTATTGTATGGAGAACAAACTGGAAGGAGGAGGTAATTCTTCTTTCTTTGTAGAAGTCAAGAGATAATAGGAAAATTGCACTCCGACCCCTCAACTATGCCCTTCTCTTACCCGAAGGGCCAACTAAAATGGTAAGACTTCTCTGAGAGCAGCCAAGAGGTTCCCATTTTGAGTCATAGGGCCATCCACCTAGGGTGTGAGCCCTGCGATTTACTTGGCATGTGTGGTTATTGGGGTATCGCACGAGCCCTGGAGATTTTCTCCAGTGACTATGCAGGTCATTAAGTCTGACAATAAATTGTTACAGTTTCCTCTGAATTACCCAAAAACTATGCCCATCTCTGAAATTATCCCTCTAACTGTTGTGTTATTGGTTTCACAATGCCCCAATTGCACACATCCATCATAATTAAATCAGAGACTTTATAATTATACCCTTCAGTGTTTCTGACAATCTTGTTACACGGGAACTTTTTCATTGGAAAGATAACAGATTTATGTTATTAGGACAATGTGAAACTATTTCAAGTATTTGAGAGGGGGATTATATGACAAATCCACAGTAGATGAGAGATCAAGACCATAGTTTAGAGATGCAAAGCATATTTTTCTCAAGATAATATTTTAGTTTTCTTCACCACAAGATTACTTAGATTTAGCAATCAGCTAACAAGATGTAGAAATATTCATCATCTTCTGATGTATTTTTATCACACTTAACTAAACTTGGATTGCAGGTAGCACAAGCATCAGAAAGAATGAGGAAGTGGGGTGGTGTAGAAGATGAAGGATCTGAGATGAAGTAAAAACCCAATTATAGAACTTTCATGGGGGGTCTTTTTTCAATGTATTGTTAGATTTTAGGTACTTCTTGTAGTTCTTTTCACAATAATACTACTTACCTAGTTTGAGAACTTAATTCGAGGATACGGTGCAATTTCACATTTGATTAATTGTCAATAGACTCATTCAATGTTAGGTTGCACTGATAATCCTGATGATGATAATAGTATATTGGATCTTGAAATTAGGTCCCGATCGAATATCTCTAAATTTTCTTCAATTTAGGTAATTCCCACTTCCATGTATATATTTTTGTAATATACAAATGGGCCTAATCTGTTTGTTTCGCATTTATTTAAACCATATACTCTATAGTTTGTTTTGATATTGTTCCAATTTTTCTTACCAATAAAACCTATTGATCCACAAAGTTTACCCACACATAAGGCCACTAAAGCACGGGTTTTATGCTTCAATTAAAAAAATGGCTCAAAATTTATAGGTTTATAAAGCAGTTCATATCAAAAATTTAAACCAATAAAAATTAAGTCTAACAAAAAATTTAATTAAATTTTCAACCAACAAAAAAAAATTTAATTAAATAATTCGGGCCCAAAAGTGAAAAACGTTCAAAAAGTAGTTTGCAATAGACATCATTAGTCAACACTCTCTCTGTCGTTCTCCCTCTAATTTTATCTAAAATTAAAACATAAATCAAACCATTTATTTTTATCTATTCTCCCTTTCAATCCCACTCTCTTTTTTAATCTATTACAAGTGTAACATTTTTCTATATAAAACATTAATCTATTAATTCTCTTTTTTTTTTCCTTCCTAATAGGCAATATTAAAAGTCTCAAAAATAATCGCTCAGAATCTCAAAAATTGAGGGACTCATTTTATTTTTTAGCCTTTAGTTCTATTTCATATTCTAAGATCATTTTGAATGGATCAAGTTAAAGACTCAAAATATTTCATAAATATATGTCTCCTAAAATATAACATTTTTTTTCACAAGTCTATGTAAAATTTTATAAAAAAATTCTAAAATATAACAACTTCTTCTAAAAAATTTAAAAGTAACGACTTCTAACTTTAAAAGTAATACTTTCTCTCAAATTCCTTTCACTATTCTTCTCACCGCCTTTCTCCAAGTCTTTCTCTCCCATTTTTATCATCGTGTTCTGGTTTTTTGCCTTTATCACAATGGTACCCAATTTATTGTCTAATCCCAAAACCACTAAAATGTTGAAACTAAATCATACCGCAATNGGTTTTTTGCTTTTATCACAATGGTACCCAATTTATTGTCTAATCCCAAAACCACTAAAATGTTGAAATTAAATCATACCGCAATTTTTTTTATAAAATTACTAATAATTATAAATTTTATTATTATATTCTTAAAATATTGACTAGGGTCTCATGTGAAATTCTGTCTATAGTCCACAATTTGTGTTGTCTGGCCTGGTTGATTCAGCAATTCACATGAAATTGGTACTGGGTAAATGAAATCCAGTATATTTTGAGTTATTTTCGGAAAATTTATCACCCTTTCTTTGGATTTTGCCATCTTGTATTGTCAGTTGTGTTGTTTGTATTGCCTAATAGTTGTATTTTTGTGGATCTATTTACTAAAAATAATTACGATACATAATTTTCTTTGTTTGGACAAAATGGTAGTGGAATCGGCGTAACTATAGCAGCCCTTATTTGCCGGAGAAACTTTCCAATGGAGGGAGCCAACAGCTTTCCCAAATGACCATACGTGAATTCCTTATCATAAGGTACAACCGTTCTCACAAGTAAAGTTATAATGAACAGAATTGAGTTTAATTCATGATCACATCCTCTTAAGTTTGTTTNGGAATCGGCGTAACTATAGCAGCCCTTATTTGCCGGAGAAACTTTCCAATGGAGGGAGCCAACAGCTTTCCCAAATGACCATACGTGAATTCCTTATCATGAGATCGACTCACATCTGCGAGGATAAAATAATAATTTTATGTAAAACTTTGGTATATGTGATTTGTTGTGCGAAATTTGATAATAATACATAAGAAAACTAGAAATTGTTTGTGGTTAAAGGCACGACAGTACTCGTAAATTAATTACAAATATTTGTTCATACATAAATGTAAAGTAAAATACAATATTGTAATAAGCGATGAACAAAATGAGTCCGTTAATATTTTTTATAACATCAACCTACATGCATAACATATATTTTCACATTAAATTTTTANTTAAAGGCACGACAGTACTCGTAAATTAATTACAAATATTTGTTCATACATAAATGTAAAGTAAAATACAATATTCTAATAAGCGATGAACAAAATGAGTCCGTTAATATTTTTTATAACATCAACCTACATGCATAACATATATTTTCACATTAATTTTTGANTAATAAGCGATGAACAAAATGAGTCCGTTAATATTTTTTATAACATCAACCTACATGCATAACATATATTTTCACATTAAATTTTTACGCCACGAAAATTGTGTTATAACTATTGAAACATAATAATTCAAACATCTAAAAATTATATCAGTTGACAATATTCAATATTCTGTTTTTGATTCAAAATTCACAATTTTAACATTCATACTTAACTTTATCTAAATAATAATATAATGAAAATTAAAACAATATTCTCACAAATAAACTGAGTCTACAAATGTTGTCAAATGACCAAATATAACTATCAGAAATTCAACCGACTATCAAAAGATACGACCTGACTATTGAATTTGTATGATTCGAGTTTATAATAGTGTTTTAATTTTATATCATTCTTCTTGGTTATTTATATTTATTAATATATTTTCTTAAATTAAATTTTATTTAGTATTGAATTATTTAATAAAGATTATTGTTTCGTGTTGTTCACTAAATATTGAATTTGTATGATTCGTGTTCATAGTATTACTTATAATTTTGTGTCGTTTCTATCGCTTGTAATTTTGTATCATTTTTCTCGGGGTATTTATATTTGAATTATTTAGTAAATATTGTTGTTTCGTGTTATTCCCTAAATATTGAATTGTATGATTTGTGTTCATAGTATTGCTTATAATTTTGCATTATTTCTCTCGCTTGTAATTTTGTATCATTTTTCTCGAGTATTTAGATTTGAATTATTTAGTAAATATTGTTATTTTGTGTTGTTCACAAAATATTAAATTTGAATGATTCGTATTTGTACGTGAATTTAATCTTGTATATTTTAAATGTTAAGCATATTTTTTTTAATATATTTCTTGATATCTGAGTTGGCCAATAACTTGAATTTAATCTTGTATATTTTACATGTTAATCATATTTTCTTTATTAAATTGGATTTTTTGCAAGTTATACTTTTTTTATTGATTATGAAAAAAATAAAATTGACTATTGAATTTGTATTATTTGAGTTTATAGTAATACATTTAATTTTATATCATTTTTCTCTGTTATTTGTATTCTTAGTATATTTTCTTAAAATAAACGTTATTTAGTATTGGATTATTTAGTAAAGATTGTTGTTTTGTGTTGTTCACTAAAAATTGAATTTGTATAATTCGTGTTCATAGTATTACTTATAATTTTGTATCGTTTCTTTCGTTTGTAATTTTATATCAGTTTTTTCGTGTATTTAGATTTGGATTATTTAGTAAATATTGTTACTTTATGTTGTTCACTAAATATTGAATTTGTATAATTCGTGTTTGTATATAAATTTAATCTTGCATATTTTAAATATTAAGCATATTTTCTTTAATATATCTCTTTATATTTAAGTGTTCACTAACTTGAATTTAATGTTGTATATTTTACATGTTAATCATATTATTTTTGTTAAAATAGATTTTTTGCAAGTTATATTTTTTTTTTATTGATTATGGAAAAAAACAAAATTGACTATTAAATTTGTATTATTCGAGTTTATAGTGGTGCTTTTAATTTTGTATTATTTTTCTCGGTTATTTATATTCTTAGTATGTTTTCTTAAACTAAACGTTATTTAGTATTAGATTATTTAGTAAATATTATTGTTTCGTGATGTTCATTAAATATTGAATTTATATGATTCGTGTTCATAGTATTACTTATAATTATGTATCGCTTCTCTCGCTTGAAATTTTGTATTATTTTTCTCGAGTATTTAAATTTGAATTATTTAGTAAATATATTGTTTTGTGTTGTTCAGTAAATATTGAATTTGTATAATCTGTGTTTATATATGAATTTAATTTTGTATATTTTAAATGTTAAGCATATTTTTTTTAATATAACTCTTGACATCTGAGTTATTCAATAACTTGAATTTAACCTTTTATATTTTACATGTTAAGTATATTTTCATTGTTAAATTAATTTTTTTGCAAGTTATGTTTTTTTTTTATTGATTATGAAAAAAAATAAAATTGACTAATAAATTTATATGATTCGTGTTTGTAGTATTACTTTAATGAAAGAGAGAGATACAGAAGAATATTTTTGTAATATATAATTTTCCTTCAGAGAGATATAGAATAATATTTTTTCAATATATTATTTCTTTCTATGTTATATATTATATATGTACAGAGAGATGTAGTTTTTACTTGAATCATACACTATCTAATATTTTCGTGAGATACAGAGAAAAAAATTGTGAGAAATTGATACTTTTTATGTGAATTGAGCGTAAGAGAGAGAGAGAGAGACGGAAGAATGAGAGAGAGAAAGATTTGCTTGATTTAAGAAAAATATTTGAGGGAATTAAATTTTAGAAACTATAAATTTTGAGCAGTAAAAATATTTCAATAGAGTTAATGTGGTACGTAGGATCAAAATGATCTGAGACGTCAATAACTCGAGACAGTTTGGAATAACGTCGTCTGTTAGATAATGTTTTTTTGGTCACGAAACAATTTAGATCACTCTTTATCTCTAAAATTCAAATTTGTTCTAATTTAATATATAAATTTAGCATGAATCGCACTAAATTCACAATTAAAATATTTCGAAACACCTCGAAACAATAGTAAAAATATCTCAAAACATCTCGAAACATTCTGAAATACCTTGAAGTAATAAAATTTTTATTTCATCGTTGTTTCATTTTGATCATCTTAAAAACAAAAACGTTTCAATCATTTCAAAACAAAATTTTGATTTTTGTTTTAGACTCGAGGTTGATTCCACTTATCCCATTCAATTGACAACCCTAATTAGTGGTCAATAATTTTTTTAAAAACTTAATCTACTTGAGACAAGCATTTTTGACTTTGCATAACCTTTTTAGTTCCCAAAATACCCTTTCACACCAAACTCTACACCCTAGTTTATAAACCATGGTTAGATAATGAATCCAACTATACTATAAATAAGTGGTCTTGGTGTTGGCCTTTCTTGAAAGAAAAACCCTAATATACTCCTCCACAGCGCTTTTCTTAGATCTATCACTCTCTCTTTATTGCCCACAAACAACAATAAGCCTTAAAAATAAATGGGTTTGACAATGGGCAAAAGGTCAAGGACAAGGAGGTCACCATGGGGTCACCCCAATTCACCCCGCAAAACACTGGTACGCCTCTCTCTCTCTCTCTCTCTCTCTCCATGGCAAGTCTTTGATTTTTCTAGAAAAGGGTCTGTATCTGTTCAAAAGCTTGAAAAATGTCCACCCCTCCCTGCGTTCTGCATAAAGACAGAGAGAAAAAAGGCGGGACTTAAATCTTCTTGGGGTTTCAAATTCTTTCTAATGCCCCAAGTCCAGTGTCTTCCCGCCAAAAACCCATTTCTACATCAAGTCCCACTTGCTTGATCGGTACCTATATCTCTCTTTCTCTGTCTTTCTCTCTTTGTTTTTTGGGTTTTTTTTTTTTTTTTTCCTTTTTTTTTCAATCTGTAAAGGTTTATATATCGATGTAATGATTTGTTTTTAGGGTTTGAATTCACAATACATGGCAGGGTGGTCGAAGATAGTTGATGGGTCATCTCTAGGTTGCTTCAAAACTCTTCAAAAGATTCAAATAAGCGACCCCTTATTCACTCTCGAACTAGTTTTAAAAGGGTCTTTCAAGGATAACGAGCAAGACGATCTGCAATATTTGTTCGATCAATTTCTCTCTCTTTTCCTTGAAGAGATTAGTGGAAGTAATTGTTTTAGGCCTTTGCCATCGAAGCTTGGCAATGTGCAGTCAGTGGATTTGGTTAAACTACGTTTGGTAGTGAGAGCAAGGATTCAGTGGCTAAAGAGTGTGTGTTCTGTCCAAGTGTCGGATCTACAGTGAAATTCATTTACATTTAAGTAGTTGGATACATTTGGTTTGTTGCAAAGGATTTATAACGATTCGAACTCAAACGGTAGTTAAAGATTAGTGGTGTCGATCTGGAAAGGTTTTGATGGACTTGGAATCGAATATTAAAGGTCTTTTGTCTGAAATTTCTGATCAAAAGAAGAAAGATGATGAGTATTCACATTTGAATTTGATGGACAATGAGTTGAATTTTACGGGTGTTGAAAATTTTGTCAATGCTGATGAGGCTAGGAATTTCGTGGGATCTAATGGCTGCAGGGCAAAAATTGATGATGACAAGAGAAGTGTTGATGAGGTCAAAGACGACGTGGCTTTAATTTCAAACGTGGTGAAGAAAGATGAGTCTAACCGGAAGAGAAAGCGCGAGGTTCACTTCGGAGTGCTTGATTGGGTTACTATGGTTGCAAAGGATCCTTGTGATCCGGCTATTGAGTCCCTACCGGAATTATCTAAATGGAAATATTACGGGAATGAGCTGGTGTGGAAGCAGGTGTTGTTGGTTCGAGAGGCAATGCTTTTGACAAGAAGTTCCGATTCAAGTGCTGAACAATCGATTTGGGAGGTATGCTTTACAAAGTTCTTTTCTGGACGTATTGCATAAGAAATTTTAATGAATTATTGCCCTTGTCTAAATAATAACGATGCACGCATTTGAGTGCGCTTAATGGTACTATTTAATTAATTGCATGTACAGCAGGCTTTCTAGTAAACTGTAGTTGCCTAAACAGATTTATTCATGCATCTACATTATTATTACCTCATTCCGACTGTCTTAGTTGCATTTTAAGTGGCGTCTACATATAATTGAAATTCACTTGTCTGGATCATGCTGCCTTCCTATTCCATGTTTGCATTCAGGAACAGACATCTTTGAAACCATTGTTTCTTATTGTTCCTTTAGTCAGGTTCATGTTTGCATATTTCTTAACTTGTTGCGACACATTCTGTCTTAAGTATTTTTGATTGCTGCATTTTGTGCTCAACACTTTCTTTATTGGTTTACATTCCTGCAGTGGTGCTAGTTTTTTCTAGTCATGCACACTCCTTTTTTTGGTTATTTTTTGTAGGTCTTATGTGGACATGACAAAATCTGTTAAATTGGTGCTCTAATGGGAATGCATGATCCCTGTTTTGAAGTTTTTTGTTTCCTTAATTATTGAGACCCATTTTTCAATTTGAACTATTTTTTTTTTTTTTGAATTGGAATCTAAACTATTCAACTCAGCTACTCTAGAATGCAATTTCTATTGGCTGTCAATCTAAATCTCGAAAATGGTTATTCTCATGCATCTCTTTGCTTGTATATCTCCATCTTTATTCATGCTATTATTGAAGTTGCAATTTTTGTTTCTAGAATTTATACCTAGGAAGTATGGATACGGATATGGAATATAGGTACGATACGATATGACAATATGACAAAACCTAAAAAAAGGATACGGGACGGCGTAAAATATATTTTATATTTATTATTATTTAACAACTTAAAAATTATAAGTTTTAGTAATTATTTAACAATAATAAATAAAATTAGTAATTTTTACCTTAAAAAATATGTAATTTCGTCTTATTGTAATATATCTATAAAGTGGACATGACCAATAAAAGGAGTTAGAACTAATATTTAACTAGTAGGTTTGCTCACAGGTATTTATTTCTAAGGTTATAGTGTAACTAATTCATTCTTTTATACTTTTTGACATGTAATAGTAGATAATAGATAAAAAATACTAGTGTCTTCAAATTCAAATTAAATTTTGTTGATTTTGTATTATATGTAAACTGGAAAGGAAAGGGTATTGATTAAAAGTAAAAATTGTACATCTTGCTCCATTTGTAGAAATATTCGCGAAGTATCTACATATTTTATTAATTATCGGATACATATGATGTGTATCCAATACGTATTCTTGAGTATTCGACCAGTATCGTATCCAATATGGTATCCGATACAAGTATGTAGACCTTGGCGAAGTATCTGTACTTTATAGATTTATACTTGTTTATTCATAAAATTTTTTGATGGCTGCTCTTGGACATAAGTAACACATGATGAATTAAAGCATAATTGTGCAAAAAAATCGTAAAAATGTAAAGTTTTTTTGTTTCTTTGAGAACACAATCAACAAAGGATCAATGGATGGTATATAAATATGGGTTTTATGGAAAATTGGTTTTGTGGTAAAATAAAAAAACTGTTGTAACTCGTCATTTTGAATAAATATACACATTTTCCTTCATCCATTTTTCACTCCTAAGAAATTAAAATGTTGGTAGGTTCACGTAACACAAAGAGTCCCTGTAGCATAGCTTCAGGAGTTGTTTGAATAATACTGTTTTGTCCTAATCTAGCTTCCGTTAAATGTTCTTAACCTACAACTCTTGCAAGTTGACAACTTTCCTATACTGTTGCATTCGTTTGGTAAAAGTGTGTTTGATTTTAGTTTTATTAGACAAAGAGGAATTCTTTGGCTTATGTGCCTTTGTTGTTATTTGTATGTTTTGTTTAACCGGGACTAATCATGCGCACAGCTCATGTAGTGATGACACTATACTTGTAGCATTTTTGGCTTGTTTGATGTTTGCTTTTAATTAACTGAGATTGGCCTTCCTTTTTGGAGGTCCTTTTTATATGGGGCAAAGGTGGTCTTCTACCTTTTAAGACATAAATGGAAATAATATTAGCCAATCGATGGTAAAAGAGGAAGATTAATGCACCTAGTTGATACACAACCCATTGTGTGCTTGTTATCTCTTTGTTTTTTGATATGCACGTAGATGAAATTAAGAGAGGTTTTAAATACTATATAGTTGTTTGGTTTTAAGGCGTAAAGCGAATCGAAGCGAACCGGTCTCCTGAGGGCCTAAGCGAGAAGCGAAGCAAGCACTTCATCGAAGCTAAGCGAACAATAAAAAAAATAAGCAAATATTTTAGTTTGATACTTTGATTATTACTAAATACTCAAGTTTTTTAACTTTACAAATACAAAATATTTAAATGCAACCAAAATATTAAACATCAACATATTTTAAATAGATAAGATATTAAATATTGAACATTATTGCATTTTAAAAAGGGTTAATTGCAAATTGAATCTCGAAAGATCGTTCAAATCTCAATTTGCACCCCAAAGATCAAAAATCTTAATTTGCACCTTCAAAGATAAAAATTTGTATCAATGTGCACCTCTAAAGATAAAAAATCTCAATTTGTATCCTCAAAGATAGAAATTTGTATCAATGAGCACTTAAAACTAAATTGATAAATTACACTTAGATCCCCTCATGCTTGTCACTTAATTATTTGGACCCCTTCATATTTAGAATATTACTCCTACATCTGATGACGTTTGTGCACGTATAACACAACTCCTTTTCGTTGATATTTGTTAATATAATCGTTAAAAAATATGATTTTGTCTTAATAAAAAATTATAATTTCATATTATCTTTTATTTTGAGGGTCCGATATATTCTAAAATTTAAAGTCAAGCTTACCATTTGAATGTCCAAAATGTAGATATTTATATAATATTTTTTATATCCAATGCAATATATCACTCAATTTGCAACTTTTTATTCTATTAGACATTCAAATGGTAAGATTCATTTTAAACTTTAGAGTATAGGGGTTACATGTTACACGTGTACAAACGTCATGAGATGTAGAATAAATATTCTAAATGTGAAGGAGTCCAAATGATTAAATGACAAGCATGAGGGGATTTAGGTATAATTTATAAATTTAGTTTTAGGTGTACATTGATACAAATTTCTATCTTTGAAGGTGCAAATTGAGATTTTTGATCTTTGGGGGTGCACATTGATACAAATTTCTATCTTTGAGGGTGCAAATTGAGATTTTTGATCTTTGAGGGTGCAAATTGAGATTTGAACGATCTTTCAGGGTGTAATTTGCAATTAACCTTTCTAAAAATAATCAATTGACATAATCACACCATCTAAATGTAAAGCTAGCAAATGTGGGTTCGACTTTTACCGTGATTGATTAATATCACCACTAAATAGGGCACTTATAAATTAATTAATCAAATAGAGCATATAGTAATTTAATTAATCAAGCAAATTGATTAATAAGAGCATTCACATCAAAATAGAACATTCAACATCATCTAATCATAATAAAACATATTGTTATATGATACTGTTAAATGAATCAATCAATTTATTTTATATATATACACATATAACATCATCTCTGCTAGGGTTTGGTTAATGTTAAGGAAAAAGGAGGATGGGAGAGGAGGAGGAGAAAATAAAAAAATTGCAAGGCATTCGCTTTTCTCGCATGGCTCTCTTCGTCTAGGCTTTTATCGTTTTATTTAACTTCGCTTCGCCTGAGATGTTCAAGGCGACCAAGGCTCGTTTCGCTTTGCTTCTCGCCTAGGCGCTCGCTTTTCACTACACTAGTTAAAAGTATGGACGAGATTGATACGACTCGGCTCGCTACCAAATTGATAACAATACTCGGTACATTAAATCCATGAGGCTCATGCAAATCGGTCTTGAATCGGATATAACTTGCTAGATTCAGTTGACTCGGACGGTGTCAAGTGGAATGGTTCTAGAAGGAATTGTACATATCAGTCACCCTCACCCCATAAAAACAACAACAAACAAACAGCAAAAAAAAAAAAAAAAGGCAGTAGAGGGACAAGAAAGAGGAAAAAAAAAGTTATACTCAGATGAAAGTTGAATCAAACTATGTGAAACCCATGTCTTTCTTCTTTTGGTGTGTCATGGCAGTTGTACACCAGACCTTTCTTCTATCTGCACTTGTGCAATGCTACACAAATCACCGACTCTGTTGGAGCTCTGATCATGATTCCTGAATGGATTTTTGCCCCCAAGTTTTCCCCTCACAGTTAGGGAAACAACACTTGTGCAGTGACTTGCCGACTCTAATGGAGATCCAATCTTTTGATCCCTGAATTGATTTTTACCCTCAAGTTTTACTTATTTTGTGTGTTTGTGTGTGTGTGATAGAAACGAAGAGTAGCACACCTAAGACACATCTTTTGAGAGGTGGAGTGCTTTTAAGTTCATAATTGTAGATTGCAATGTGATGGATTGCAATTTTATTACTTCTTTTGGCTCTAAATCTAATTGCTTTGTTTTAATAGGGAATGTATATTGAACCCATTAATTGATATGTTACATTAAATTAGTGTACTTTACTAACCAATAATGATACTTAAATTTGATTCGAAAAATTAATTTGGTTACTTGATCTTTTATTTCTATTGGACTGATAACGGATCTCAAGCAAACTGCGGCACATGATTAATTCTACAATGACAGTGGATTAAACCCTCACATTTATATTCGTAACTAGGTGCAATTACAACAATGTAGCAAATGACCACCAAAAGCAATTGTATTTTTTAATTTGGATATTTGTAGATTGAATATGAAAATAACATAAGATTACCTAATTTATTTAAAATTAAAAATGCGTGATTTTATATTTTTTTGAATGCAATATAATTTATTTTTAATTTTGAATTGTTAATAGATAAATGAAATTATTGAAAGTAAACTAAAATTATACTGTACTTATTATTTTACATCATTGATATTATAATCATTTTTGGGAAAAATTGTATTATAGAATCTCAAATGCTTACATTCAAGATAGATGATAGTATTTTAGGGAGCATCCTTATATTTTATTTTAAATATATTTTATGTATTAGATATATTTTGCATATATGATGCAGGGGTTTTTTTCTTACATTTTTTAGAATTTTTTATGATATTTATTTTTTTATATCTTTTGGGCCTTCTATCTAGCATTTCATGCATATCGACCGATACCTCCTGCGACGCTTCATCGACATCCTTTGAGTTAATAATTAATACGGCAACCTTGAACCATGGGGGGGTACTGAATTAATTTATTGCCTTCATGAATCAATTATGTAAATAACTTTGGAAATTTTCCACAAAAGGGGTAGTATGTGCTGGATGGTATTATCATGGAGTCTATTATTCCTGTTCTCTTAATTAGGCCTCGGGATGTAGTAGCTTTATTGGAATTTGGATGTTATCATGAAAGGTTTTGATGATTATGCTATTTGTTGTTGAAAATGGTGTGCCATTGGCTTGCCATAGTAACCCACTGAGAAGGACAAAGCCTTCTTGACATGGTTCAAGCCTCATGGTCATTACATTGGCCATCAACTCGGAGAACACTTATACTTATCAGTCACGACATCGCAACATGTTATCTACCAATACACAAAAAATGTAGACAAAAGGCCTAAAAAATCTAAAGGTGAAGAACTTTAGTTCTTTAATTTTTGAATGCTTTATCATTATCTCATTTGTGGTTTAGAAGACAAGGTACTAGATGACTTTCTTAAGGTAAGATGTTCTTTGCAGTTGAGATATGTGAAAGGAACATCTTTTCTTATTGTTTGTTTGTGTTTTCTGCTTTTTGTGTTTTCATCATCTCAAAATTTCCACACCTCAACTTTAGTTGTGTGTTCCTCTCTGCATAAATCAATTGGTCTTCACAGCACAAGATGAAACCATCATATGTTATTATACTATCATCATGTCCCAAAATGGTGCACTTCTAGCATCTCGCATGTCATATTGCACTTATCATCTTTACTTTTTTCTTGATTCTAGTCTCATATTCCTTCATGTGTGTCCAGTTTTGTTAGATGCTAATATAGCATTAAGCAACCTCATTATATCCCTTAGTTATCTAGAGGATGGTCCATTCTCCCTGAATTGTCAAGCCCCAACCTCTTCTATAACTCTTGTAATTAGCCACTCACGTATCATGACTTAGTGCATCTGCTAAATTCTTATTGCTTTCAATGCCTATTTCTGCTGCTTTGTCTTACTGTTGATTCGCATATAGAACTATTTAATGCATGTTATGTCATCAATTTCATCCAGGCATAGCATTAATAATTATTTACAATTCTTACCCATTTCTTGACCTATTTTCCTTGCAAGAAATGTGGTTTTTTTTTTTGAGTGTTATATGACTCATATTTACATACAATTTCTTTTTGGGTCATCCTTTTACATGCTATTAATTTGGAACCTTTTTATGAATAGCATGTTTTCACTTTTACATGTCAAGTACATCTTCAAATTCTAAGAACATGGTACTTGCCCCACTTTTTTGGCCAACTTTGTAATTTCCATTCAACCTTCTGTCTACTCCCCTATCTTTCCTTACAAAATTAAGGCTGACTAATATAATATACATGGTTGAAGTATAGAATGCTGACCATTAGAATCATCACAGAAGGAACTATAGATAAAGAGTGATGTGAGCAAAATTGTCCCCTTATTCCATCAGATGTAAGTTTGGCCTTTCTTTGCCATGTTAATCCTACAGCGTATCTAGTATTTCGCATAATTATGTTTTAACTCGATTATCTTATTTATATAGTGATCAAACCTGTAGTTAAAAATGAAGATATTAATGTCCATGCAGTGCTTAATTTAAACAATCTCTACTTTGCAGAAGAAGCAAAAGATGCATCCAACCATGTATGATGATCAGATTTCATCAGAGAGATTAAGATGCAGCCAAAGGCTCCTTTCTGCAAAAGAGTCTCAAGCACTGCTTTCCTTCAAAAAGTTGCAGGCTCAAACTTTTCCAGAGTCATCCTCCTCAGGTACTCAGAGTGACTCAGAGGATCATTTTGACAAAAAGTCCAATTCCTTGACTGCAGATCTGTCGTGGGTCAACTGCCGTCGACAAAAGAGAGTTCCCATCGGGCCATATTTTCAAACAGAAGTACCAGAATGGACCGGGGAGGCTCATGAAAGTGATTCTAAATGGTTGGGTACCAAAGTTTGGCCACTGGAAAAAGGAGAGCAGAGTAAATATTTGATTGAAAGGGATCGCATTGGAAAAGGAAGACAGGATTCATGTGGCTGCCAATTCCCAGGTTCCCTCGAGTGTGTCAGATTTCATGTTACTGAGAAAAGGATGAAGATGAAACTTGAATTGGGAATGGCCTTTCATCGTTGGAAATTTAACAAGATGGGGGAAGAAGTTGCACTCTCTTGGACAAAAGAAGAAGAAAAGGAATTCCATGCTATGGTGCAGTCAAACCCTCCATCTCTGGATAAGCGTTTCTGGAATGAAATTTTTAAGTCCTTCCCTAGAAGAAGCAGGGAAGAATTGTTCAGCTATTACTACAATGTTCTCCTCCTCCGGTGCAGGGGTCGCCAAAATAGGTCTTTCTCAAGTGACATTGACAGTGAAGATGATGAATCGGTGTATGCATCCTTATATAAACGTCTTGAGAATGAAGGAATCAAGCCCCCTGGCTCTATATTTTGTTCCCCAAAGAAGACACATTTGAATTTCAGATAGTGTGCGCAAAGCTGCATTGGCACCATAGGCTTGGCTTAGAAATGTAAATTGCAGCATTTTTTTGTGGTTTTTTTTTTTGGCAATTTTTGATGAAAAAGATGTTTTTCTCACCAATTACTGGACCGAGGTTATAGTGGCATTCGAAAAGTCTAACTTAAGGATTTCAATTAGGAAGGGAATATGGGAGAGATTATGAGGCATTGATGGTGGTGGAAGCAATTAATCAGAGGCTTGCGCAACTGGGGCTGATTAGCTCCTTTTTTAGTTCATGTTTCCCTGGCTCTCAAGATACTATTCCCATCTATCCATTAATGGGTCACCTAATACAGGTACTATTACTTCATTCTCCATTTTTTCTCTTCTGAAGTCAATAGCTTTAGGATCTTGTGGAAAGAACCCAAATGATGAAGTTGAATAGATCAAAAGAGAATGAAGAATAGTTGGTCTCTCCTATGCAAAAAAGCATGCACTTCTGTTGTGAGGGTCTTTAAACATAGTTTAGTGAATTCCTTTTGCCTCAGGCTTCTGCATATCTGTTTCCCTTGTTACATGATACCTTGGATTTCTGCGTGAACACGCTTGTCTGTTGAAAGTGTAATGAACCTTGTGATATTCCTTTTTTGTTACATGATACCTTGAGATTATATGACTATTAATGAAGTTGATATTCCTTTTTTGTTAAATTTGCTTGCCTGAAGTTCTGTTTCTTTTCATAAAATGGGTAGGATGTAAGTCCGAGCCTTGATTACCTGCTGTCTATATAATTAGTTTAAAGTTGATTGTGTTCATATGGAGTTTACGTTGTAGTCGTGCGGTCAAAAGGCGTATTGTAATATGATTCTTTTGTCATCCAATAAAAAGAAGGAAATGGACTATTTGCCCATGTGACGTTGGAAGGCACTAACAAATTTGAGATATGTTTGAAAACTTTGGACAGGAATTATGCAATGGATCTAAGGTAAGGTGCTTTTAGTGGGCTCTAGTATTTACTGTACTTATACAATTATGGTCAAATTAATCCTGTGTTTGTATTGGTTGCTCCGTTTGGCTCCTGTTGAATGACACTGATGCTTATAAGTTTTCACCTTTCTTCAATCACTTTCCTATACTATCCAATCATAGGGGCATGGCCCTAAGTTGTGCAAGTTTGCATCTGCCAAATTGTCTATAAGGTTCAACCTTACTTTGCAAATAGGATTGGTAATTGGGCTGAGCTATTTGGACTTGGCTTGGATTTGACTCGTATTTGATTCGAGCTTGAATAATTTTTTAGGGTCATTTTTGGCTTGACTCAGCTCATAAAGTTCAGCTTGTTTATATGTAAAATAGTCGAGTTATTCGTGTTTGATTTGTTTTGGGTTTAGTTCAAACTAGTCAAGCTTGAACAATTTTTTAGAACGAGCTTGACAAGCTCGACTGGAGTTCACAAAGTTTGACTCAATTATCAACTTTATGTACAAATCATTGTTCAATTATTTGATGTCGGTTATACGTATTTNCGAGCTTGACAAGCTCGACTGGAGTTCACAAAGTTTGACTCAATTATCAACTTTATTTACAAATCATTGTTCAATTATTTGAGGTCGGTTATACGTATCTNAGAACGAGCTTGACAAGCTCGACTGGAGTTCACAAAGTTTGACTCAATTATCAACTTTATGTACAAATCATTGTTCAATTATTTGATGTCGGTTATACGTATTTTGTTCATTGTTTTATTATTTTATTTAAAATTAGTTTGATCTTGTTCTACTGTTAGTGGTCATCACATCAATAACTGTAGATCATTACAAACGTACTTAAATTACTTATATTGATGTTTTTGTTTCAGCAAGCATCATAGTAGCAATGATAAAGTACCCCCCCTACATTGCAGGGTATATGCATGGTAATGTGAACATGTGTTGGGACCAAGAAACATCACCAATTTTGGATTTGGAGGAAAGTTTGAGGGGAAATGGACTTCTATCCTCTTGTCTACATTTGATGAAATTGACCTAAGGAATGTTACATTTCATTTAAAAAAAAAATGGGAGAATTCTCCTGAAGTTGGGTGCAATAGGTTGGATTTGGACTAATTTAGACTATGGGTTAGTGTCTATAACAATTGTAGATACGATCGGTGAACTAGACTTGAAATCGTTATAAAATTAGTGGGTTTAATTCTACTCTTAATTGGTTTGACAGATAAAAGAATGAAATCCGTTCAAACATCTTAAGTGAATGAGACAATATGAATGAGCTGAAAACAATATAGATTAATTAAACATAGTTTATTTACCGTAGGAAACAGACACATGAACCTAACTATAGGTGATTATGAATGGGTAAGCTTTAAGTCTAAGAGTATTAAAATATGACACGATTCGTTAACACGAGAAGAAATTAAAGGGTTTGGGTCGTCTTTAAGTCACTTGTTTCGTAACCTATTAGACCTGACCTAACACAATTAATAAATGAATTGATTAAGGGTAAAGTCCATCAAAATAAATGCACGGTACAATTTGTTGATTTTATACGATTGATACACGTCATCAACTCGTTTCACTTGATATACATCATCAACTCGCTTTGCTTGATACGATTGATAGGACTATTTAGGCTCAACAAATTTATACCCGNAATGAGCTGAAAACAATATAGATTAATTAAACATAGTTTATTTACCGTAGGAAACAGACACATGAACCTAACTATAGGTGATTATGAATGGGTAAGCTTTAAGTCTAAGAGTATTAAAATATGACACGATTCATTAACACGAGAAGAAATTAAAGGGTTTGGGTCGTCTTTAAGTCACTTGTTTCGTAACCTATTAGACCTGACCTAACACAATTAATAAATGAACTGATTAAGGGTAAAGTCCATCAAAATAGATGCACGGTACGATTTGTTGATTTTATACGATTGATACACGTCATCAACTCGCTTCACTTGATATACATCATCAACTCGCTTTGCTTGATACGATTGATAGGACTATTTAGGCTCAACAAATTTATACCTGACATGACTCAAACATACCATGAACCCAACAAAAACACGACCCATTGCTAGTCCAATTAGTTTAGCCAATATCCCTATACAGAAATTTGAATCCTTGATCTCTCGTGAAAATGTTATGGAGGTCAGAGGAAGATCTATGGGACTTGAATAGCTTTGGCTTGGAGGTCCAAAATGATTTAGGACATGAGAACAATATGCCAGGACATGCTCTTATTCTAAAGCTAGTAAAGGCTAACATTACTATGATGGTTGAAAATAGCTTCTCTTTGGTTAAATTATAATAATTGTATCTCTACCATTTTGTAATTTTAGTATTAACACTACGATTCAATAATACTTTGAATTGAATCAAATTTATTGGTCGAATTTGTTGATGAAATCCATTACTATCGTTGGACTATATCCATTGTTCTACTCGCTCTGACGATCTTACATACTGGCTAGAAAGAGAGAGCAGTGTGATTGACTCTATAATTGAAATAATGAAAATGCTCTATTTTGGAGTTTCACTACCAGTGTTGAGTTTTGTGCACAATTCAATTGAAACTAAGGGTGGGGTTCACTGTTAATTCATCGATGGAATGGGTTTGATTAGTAAATTTAGTCCAACGACCTTTATTCAAACCTAAATACGTAGTTAGACAAGTTAAGAAGAATCTCTTGAATAGGACATGAACCCAAAAGATGAATATAAGGTCCAATGTCAATGTCTTTGAATAGAAGTGTAACTTCTCTACCATCCACCATTCACCATTCACTCCATCTTGTGAAAAAGCATTAATTCAAATTAAATGCATGAAATAAGTAGGCAATTTTGATTTGGATTTTGAGAACACAAATAAGTATTTATTTTAATCTTGGTCAATGTTGTAATGTATCTAAAAACTAACAGGTCTTACATAGCACAATTTTCTAATAGTTTCTTGTGTTGAAGTTTTCAATGTGGCATTTGGTGGAAGATGGTACACATTTTAATGTAAATAGTTGGTGAAACTAATTGTAAACACATTTGTCTGAAATTTAAATTTTGACAATTTCATAGGATCAGGTCACGAGAGATTTATCTTTTACGAATACCTTAATACCAGCGTAGTACATGTATTAAGTGTCTATCTTTTTTTATTTTTATTTTTTAATTGTTAAATGTGTCTGGACTAATTTACGCACAGCTTGACTAATCTCTTCCTCGATCTAATTTTAATTAAAAATAAATCATTCACGTTGAAATTAAATTATGAACTTAATGTCAAAAGGGTATTAAAATTCAATCTTAAAAACATATAAATTTATCTCTTATTGTTGTTATCATTTAAAGTAGTGATTGTACATGTATATGTTTTGGGAATAACGTGGCAAGATATTAGATTAGAAGGTGTCAAAGAGATATATGAGAGGAATCTAGAAAATGAATGGTAAGCAAATAAAATATAAGTAATTTATGGGGGGGCTTAAAGATAAATATTAGCTGTCATTTATCTCCTCCTTTTCACTCATTGATGTCTGAACTTTGCTTCTCGTTGCTGTTCAAGTAACTCGTTCCTTTTCTCTCTCTTCTCTCCTCTCCCCACAACTCTCTCTCTGTATCTCTCTGTAAAATCAACGAAAGGGGACAGAAACGCCGGAGAAAAATCATGTCTTCCCCGAGCAAACGCCGAGAGATGGACTTGATGAAGCTGTTAATTCCCTAATTAATCTCTTGACTCATCTTCAATTCTTTGTCTATTAATTTCGACTTGCAGATAATTGATGTTTGTTTTTCATTTTCTGTTTGTTATGGACTAGGATGATGAGTGATTACAAGGTGGAGATGATCAACGATGGCATGCAAGAGTTCTATGTGCACTTCCATGGACCAAATGACAGTAAATCTTCCTTACCATATCTCAATTTTCGATCTTTGTATCTCTAACTCAATTTTTTTGAGCTTTTTCTTATATTTGCTTTTCTGGGTCTTTGTTGATATTTGTTTTTTTTTTGTTGATTTCTCTATGTTGACCATCTTTACATGTTAGCCTTCTTAGTTGAATCTTCAGGTTGTAGACTCTTTTTCTTTCATCTGATTATCTACCATAATTTTTGGGAAGAAAAAATCATTTTGTTTTTTTTTTTTTGAGGGGGGGGGGTTGTTCTTTTTTCCTTTAATGTGATTATCTACCATAATTTTTGGAAAATATTTTCTTTTGGGGGTTGTTATTTTTGGTTAAAATTGATCTAGGTGTTTGATATGTGGTTTGTAAGTCAAATCATTCTTGCAGATATGTTTTTTTTCTATAATAAATTTCAAGTGGCTAATCAGAAATCGAAGCAAAAGGAGTTTATATATATTTTTTTCTTTTTCTTTTATCAAAACTCCATGATGGATTATGGCAGGTCCTTATCATGGAGGCGTGTGGAGGGTAAGGGTTGAGCTTCCAGATGCTTATCCCTATAAATCTCCGTCGATAGGCTTCATTAATAAGATCTTCCATCCAAATGTTGATGAAATGTGAGTATAAGGTTCTTAGTTTTCTATTAGTGGTAATTTTTTTTTTTTGTTTGTTTTTTTGGGTGGAAGTGAAAGGTGAAGGGAGAGGGAGAGGGAGAGGGAGAGGGGAAGGGGATGAGTTTGAAACACGCGGCCACCTGTGAAAAAAAAAAGATGTTCCGTGATATTGAAGAACAAATCTTAATTTATCCAAGTGGGTTTGGGATAATTTGTAAAATACATATGGTTGTGACAAGGGGGATAAGTCACAACAGCTAGGTGAATTCCTTATGCTATTACTAATATTATAAAGTGACTTTTTTATTGTTGAAATAAAGTACATTGTATTTTGATTTGTTTTATAAATTCTTTCGGGAGTGAGCCAAGACCACAGGGCTACTCCCTCACCTGCTATAAGGGGTAATTCAATATGTTTATTTGGCCAAAAAGGAAGTCTGACTAACATTGGTGGATTATTCACTTTCAGGTCAGGCTCAGTTTGCTTGGATGTTATCAATCAGACCTGGAGCCCTATGTTTGGTAATGGAATACTATTCCATTTTTCATAAATAAAATTCCAGTGGTTTTTTATAGTTAAAGTGCAAAGCTTGTTTGACAGTTTCAATGATTACCCATTGACATGGAATGTTGGCACTCGTGCTTTACAGATCTAGTGAATGTGTTTGAAGTGTTCCTCCCACAGCTTCTTTTGTATCCAAACCCATCGGATCCATTGAATGGGGAAGCAGCAGCTCTAATGATGCGGGACCGATCTTCTTATGAACAAAGAGTGAAAGGTATTCAACCTTGTTGAAGTTGTGTTCCAACACTTGCATGACTTGTATGATTAATATGGGTTGGATGCAAATTGAAGAATGGAATTTGATATCTACAACCTTGTTATGGTCTTCTTTTTACTTTTAATGTTTCCTTACATAGTTCTTAGAACATTATGACTATGACAACAAGTCTTAATCGCAAGTACACTTAGTCTGGATATGATCTACCTTCTCCAATTGAGGTTTTGTAGAGACATCCTGGAATGTGTGGAAAAGAATCATGTCATTTCCACAGCTTCAGCCCAGATTCTGCCTTCTGGTGTACTCCTTTTATTGCGTTGTTCAAATCACTTCTTTGAACCACTATCATAGTCAGTCTATGTTACAATCAACCACATCATCTTAACTACTTCCGGGTGTTACACATCTACACCACTTTGGACTTTCCCGTCCATTTCTCATTCTGCCATTTGTTGTAGCTCGACTGATCTTCTCAACATCCTCAATTAAGCTACACTTCTTTTCCTCTAGCCAAAATTGAACTTCACCACCTTCCATAAAGAAATTGAATTTCACCCTAGTGTTTTATACACCACGACGGACTGTGATTTTTTACGAACACAATATCTAGAAATTGGACATAAGTTGATGGTTGTAAATGGACTTGATGTCAGAGCCAATGTGGTGAGAAGAGTTAAGACATGGGCGATTTCAAGTTTCCTCATCTAATTTTCTCCTCATGACCAAGACTCATAATTGTTAATCCCTCCTACATGCCATCATTAATATTTAACTGCCCAAANTCGGCATGCATTTTAAAATAATATAATCCATTGATACAAATAATAAATATGTCTTGTTAGTATTATATATGATTAACTTGATTTTAACATACCAGAACACTTTAGCTAAAAATATATGAGAAGATTCTCTAAATTGAAAACCTAAAGAAAGGAAACCTAATTATGAATTTTTTGGTTCATCATTTATGTTGTGTGACACCCCAAAATTTGAGGATCCGTTGATTATCCATCAATCCGCAGAATACCCGTGGATACCGAGTAATTCGATATCACGCCATTATGTTCTATTTATCGGGAACCATAATTTTGACGAAATTCGGGNGCTCGGCAAGTATGTAGTGAACTAAAATTAAGTATTTGTCGGCATGCATTTTAAAATAATATAATCCATTGATACAAATAATAAATATGTCTTGTTAGTATTATATATGATTAACTTGATTTTAACATACCAGAACACTTTAGCTAAAAATATATGAGAAGATTTTTTAAATTGAAAACCTAAAGAAAGGAAACCTAATTATGAATTTTTTGGTTCATCATTTATGTTGTGTGACACCCCAAAATCTGAGGGTCCGTTGATTACCCATCAATTCGCGGAATACCCGTGGATACCGAGTAATTCGATATCACACCATTATGCTCTATTTATCGGGAACCATAATTTTGACGAAATTCGCGNGCCTTCTGGTGTACTCCTTTTATTGCGTTGTTCAAATCACTTCTTTGAACCACTATGGTACTCGGTCTGTTTATTCAAATCACTTCTTTGAACCACTATCATAGTCAGTCTATGTTACAATCAACCACATCATCTTAACTACTTCCGGGTGTTACACATCTACACCACTTTGGACTTTCCCGTCCATTTCTCATTCTGCCATTTGTTGTAGCTCGACTGATCTTCTCAACATCCTCAATTAAGCTACACTTCTTTTCCTCTAGCCAAAATTGAACTTCACCACCTTCCATAAAGAAATTGAATTTCACCCTAGTGTTTTATACACCACGACGGACTGTGATTTTTTACGAACACAATATCTAGAAATTGGACATAAGTTGATGGTTGTAAATGGACTTGATGTCAGAGCCAATGTGGTGAGAAGAGTTAAGACATGGGCGATTTCAAGTTTCCTCATCTAATTTTCTCCTCATGACCAAGTCTCATAATTGTTAATCCCTCCTACATGCCATCATTAATATTTAACTGCCCAGAATTTCGAAGTCATATCCAGATTGAGTATTTCTGTTATTCCGCATGTCAAAACCATAGTAACTTATTCTCTTTGAAATGGTCAATTACTTTGGATGATAGGGGAAGTTTTATACTACAACTCTGCGGATGATATGCATTAATCTGTGTTTGCATCCCCTTGTTTACTGATGCTTTCTTATAGGGAATAGACAATGCCTGTATTATATTTTAGGCTATTACTCCATTTTAGTGTTCCCTCTTCAACAAGAAGAATGGTCGAGTTGGTCTCTTTTGAACCTAGTTGCATTCCTTATGGTATTGTCTGCTTTTAAGTATCTTGGAGGCATCTGATATTTCTCTTTCCTTTCCATTATCTCATTTATTTCTTGTTTAGCTTTACAAAATTTGTGGCAGTGTCACTGCAGCATGATTGTGGTTATGTTGTAATAGATTGAACTTCTTCATTTGGAATATAGTTTCTATATATATATATTCAGAAAAAAAAAAAATCCCTAATATCGATGCGACTCCCTCACTGCTTTTACTGGTTCAATATCCAGAATACTGTGAGAAATATGCCAAGCCAGAAGATGTGGGAGCTGCCCCGGAGGAGATATCTAGTGACGAGGAGATGAGTGAGGATGAGTATGACTCAAGTGATGAGGCAGTGGCAGGTCCAGTAGACCCATAGGCCCTTGCGCTTCTTAACTGTCTGTATTTGTACATAATATTCTTCCAGTTTAAATCAACTGAACTTGAAAAAACATTTATGGGGACAGATGGAAAAAAAAAATCCCATCTTTGTCTGTTAATTTCATCTATGAATGTGAATAAATGTACTGCTAGTTTCATGTTGCATATGCTTTGTCATTTGATCATTGTTTGTTATTGGCAGCAAGTGGGGATTGTGGTTGTTCCAAGGGCAGTCAATGGCTAGATTTTTCAAAACTCTCGTTTGCTTGCAGTATCGTATGATTATTGAACTTGGTGTTCCTAAATGGTCTGTGTTATGGCAAAGCTGATCTTTTGATGGTGGACAAGAACCATGGGTTTGTTTTTATTTGAATTGAGTTGTGACTTGAGACGGACATCTTACCTGTGTGATGCTTTAGTTAAGTTTGCTTGCCAAGGGAGGTGGGGTGGGTGTCTGTGGGAGTTTTGCTTTTAACCATGTTTGGTAAGTCTTCAGTTCCATATGCTTGGTGCTATAGCTTGGCATTCCAATAAACATTCCTGTTGAAAAAGGTCTCACCTTCTCGGTAAGGGAATCATTGCTCCCTCTATTGACTTTGAAGCATACCTTATTCTCAAACCTAGTGGTTTGGTTGCGTTCACTCCTGTAGTCTCTCTCTCTCTCTCTCTCTCTCTCTATATATATATATATATATATATATATATATACACTTTCAGTGGGGCAGCTTGAGGGAAGGCTAGAAGGGAGTTATGTTTTGCCAAATTTCTGTGAAGAAAACAGTCAGTTTGTTTTTGGCTGGAATTGAAGCAACGGATACATCAACAGATAAGGTAGGTTGCAGCGGATAAATTATCCGTTTCATTCAAACCTCCTTTTAATTCTAATCTCATTTCTTGTCTGATCGTCTTCAAGATCTTCTGAACTGTATATAATACCTCTTCCTTGGTTGAATTCAATGATTCCAATCAGCTCAAGGATTAGAATCAGGAATTAAATGGCCAACATCTTGCAGAAAATGTCTTTGGGGTTGGGGTGAAGCTTGCAAACATGCCAAACTGGTGCGAAACTAACATAAAGTTATTGGGTATGTGTTTAGTCTTAATGGGTTTGCAAATTGTTTAGCAGTAGCAAATTGATTTGGAAATGACCCCATAATGAAAGGCCTGAGAAAGATAGTGCACTTCCAGAGAGGAAAAAACAGGAAAGAAAAGCACGAAAGAGCAGTACACAGTGGGGCCCAGTACGTAGGCCAACAATAATGGGTCTGGGTTGTGTCATCCATCTATGGAGTGTTATGGCTGCATACGTAGCTGTGGCCTCATCTCAATCAATCACCATCTTTTGCCATCACCAACATCTGTTATGCCAAAAATGTAAGCTCCACTACAACCATATTTAAACAAGTTTGATAGGGGTGGTTCTATACAAATTGAGCCTTAAAATGATAAATTTGGATGAGATTTTTTTATACTAAAACAAAACAGCAACACAAATAATATAAAGCGACTTTGGAATTGTAATTTTTCACATTTTAAAATGATACAAGCTCGGCAAGTATGTAGTGAACTAAAATTAAGTATTTGTCGGCATGCATTTTAAAATAATATAATCCATTGATACAAATAATAAATATGTCTTGTTAGTATTATATATGATTAACTTGATTTTAACATACCAGAACACTTTAGCTAAAAATATATGAGAAGATTCTCTAAATTGAAAACCTAAAGAAAGGAAACCTAATTATGAATTTTTTGGTTCATCATTTATGTTGTGTGACACCCCAAAATTTGAGGATCCGTTGATTACCCATCAATTCGCGGAATACCCGTGGATACCGAGTAATTCGATATCACACCATTATGCTCTATTTATCGGGAACCATAATTTTGACGAAATTCGCGTAGAGTCTCCTTTGTACGAGAAGCTCTACCCAAAACTCAACTTGTGCAATCATATAATAACAAGACCCATCCGAGGTCTAATATTCAACAATGACCACACCGGGTCCAATTATACGTAAATATTGACCACACCGGGTCCAATTATCCATATTTATATCAACACATGCAAGGTTAGTTTAATAATAGTTTATATAAGTTTTATTACAATTATTTGCAAAAGATTACATGCCCAAAACATTATTTCCATAAAATGTTTTACATTAACACAAAATAAAGCCACATTCGGCTTTCTTCAAACATGAAGGTCCAAAGTAGAGCCATTCACCGGTGTATCTCTCTACCTGAAATGTTTTCCCATATAGGGTGAGTCAATGCTCAGTAGAAAAATNTGTTTTACATTAACACAAAATAAAGCCACATTCGGCTTTCTTCAAACATGAAGGTCCAAAGTAGAGCCATTCACCGGTTCTCCACCTGAAATGTTTTCCCATATAGGGTGAGTCAATGCTCAGTAGAAAAATTTTTTACAGAGGCTACTCCCCACCTAAAATGCTTATGCAATGCGCACATGTCACAAACAACTTCTTCCATTCCAAATAAGAACATGTTATTCAAGATAGAATCTTATGATGTCATNAGTTAAGACATGGGCGATTTCAAGTTTCCTCATCTAATTTTCTCCTCATGACCAAGTCTCATAATTGTTAATCCCTCCTACATGCCATCATTAATATTTAACTGCCCAAAATTTCGAAGTCATATCCAGATTGAGTATTTCTGTTATTCCGCATGTCAAAACCATAGTAACTTATTCTCTTTGAAATGGTCAATTACTTTGGATGATAGGGGAAGTTTTATACTACAACTCTGCGGATGATATGCATTAATCTGTGTTTGCATCCCCTTGTTTACTGATGCTTTCTTATAGGGAATAGACAATGCCTGTATTATATTTTAGGCTATTACTCCATTTTAGTGGTCCCTCTTCAACAAGAAGAATGGTCGAGTTGGTCTCTTTTGAACCTAGTTGCATTCCTTATGGTATTGTCTGCTTTTAAGTATCTTGGAGGCATCTGATATTTCTCTTTCCTTTCCATTATCTCATTTATTTCTTGTTTAGCTTTACAAAATTTGTGGCAGTGTCACTGCAGCATGATTGTGGTTATGTTGTAATAGATTGAACTTCTTCATTTGGAATATAGTTTCTATATATATATATTCAGAAAAAAAAAAATCCCTAATATCGATGCGACTCCCTCACTGCTTTTACTGGTTCAATATCCAGAATACTGTGAGAAATATGCCAAGCCAGAAGATGTGGGAGCTGCCCCGGAGGAGATATCTAGTGACGAGGAGATGAGTGAGGATGAGTATGACTCAAGTGATGAGGCAGTGGCAGGTCCAGTAGACCCATAGGCCCTTGCGCTTCTTAACTGTCTGTATTTGTACATAATATTCTTCCAGTTTAAATCAACTGAACTTGAAAAAACATTTATGGGGACAGATGGAAAAAAAAAATCCCATCTTTGTCTGTTAATTTCATCTATGAATGTGAATAAATGTACTGCTAGTTTCATGTTGCATATGCTTTGTCATTTGATCATTGTTTGTTATTGGCAGCAAGTGGGGATTGTGGTTGTTCCAAGGGCAGTCAATGGCTAGATTTTTCAAAACTCTCGTTTGCTTGCAGTATCGTATGATTATTGAACTTGGTGTTCCTAAATGGTCTGTGTTATGGCAAAGCTGATCTTTTGATGGTGGACAAGAACCATGGGTTTGTTTTTATTTGAATTGAGTTGTGACTTGAGACGGACATCTTACCTGTGTGATGCTTTAGTTAAGTTTGCTTGCCAAGGGAGGTGGGGTGGGTGTCTGTGGGAGTTTTGCTTTTAACCATGTTTGGTAAGTCTTCAGTTCCATATGCTTGGTGCTATAGCTTGGCATTCCAATAAACATTCCTGTTGAAAAAGGTCTCACCTTCTCGGTAAGGGAATCATTGCTCCCTCTATTGACTTTGAAGCATACCTTATTCTCAAACCTAGTGGTTTGGTTGCGTTCACTCCTGTAGTCTCTCTCTCTCTCTCTCTCTCTATATATATATATATATATATATACACTTTCAGTGGGGCAGCTTGAGGGAAGGCTAGAAGGGAGTTATGTTTTGCCAAATTTCTGTGAAGAAAACAGTCAGTTTGTTTTTGGCTGGAATTGAAGCAACGGATACATCAACAGATAAGGTAGGTTGCAGCGGATAAATTATCCGTTTCATTCAAACCTCCTTTTAATTCTAATCTCATTTCTTGTCTGATCGTCTTCAAGATCTTCTGAACTGTATATAATACCTCTTCCTTGGTTGAATTCAATGATTCCAATCAGCTCAAGGATTAGAATCAGGAATTAAATGGCCAACATCTTGCAGAAAAGGTCTTTGGGGTTGGGGTGAAGCTTGCAAACATGCCAAACTGGTGCGAAACTAACATAAAGTTATTGGGTATGTGTTTAGTCTTAATGGGTTTGCAAATTGTTTAGCAGTAGCAAATTGATTTGGAAATGACCCCATAATGAAAGGCCTGAGAAAGATAGTGCACTTCCAGAGAGAGGAAAAAACAGAAAGCAAAGCACGAAAGAGCAGTACACAGTGGGGCCCAGTACGTAGGCCAACAATAATGGGTCTGGGTTGTGTCATCCATCTATGGAGTGTTATGGCTGCGTATGTAGCTGTGGCCTCATCTCAATCAATCACCATCTTTTGCCATCACCAACATCTGTTATGCCAAAAATGTAAGCTCCACTACAACCATATTTAAACAAGTTTGATAGGGGTGGTTCTATACAAATTGAGCCTTAAAATGATAAATTTGGATGAGATTTTTTTATACTAAAACAAAACAGCAACACAAATAATATAAAGCGACTTTGGAATTGTAATTTTTCACATTTTAAAATGATACAAGCTCGGCAAGTATGTAGTGAACTAAAATTAAGTATTTGTCGGCATGCATTTTAAAATAATATAATCCATTGATACAAATAATAAATATGTCTTGTTAGTATTATATATGATTAACTTGATTTTAACATACCAGAACACTTTAGCTAAAAATATATGAGAAGATTTTTTAAATTGAAAACCTAAAGAAAGGAAACCTAATTATGAATTTTTTGGTTCATCATTTATGTTGTGTGACACCCCAAAATCTGAGGGTCCGTTGATTACCCATCAATTCGCGGAATACCCGTGGATACCGAGTAATTCGATATCACACCATTATGCTCTATTTATCGGGAACCATAATTTTGACGAAATTCGCGTAGAGTCTCCTTTGTACGAGA